TGTGTGTGTGTGTGTGTGTGTGTGTGTGTGTGTGTGTGTGTGTGCGTGTGTTCAGCAGAGTGGAGGTCTGAGCCTCAGGGAAGGCTTTTAAGATAAATATAGTGAGGCACTTTGAGTCTAAGCTATCTACTGATGCACGTTACTGACATTGTGTGTGTGTGGATGCGTACTGTCGTATGAACAGAGTAGGGTTGGGGGGAGGGGTGGAAACTACGTTGAAACTTTGTGTGATTTTGGCCCTAGAGGCATCTCCACAGTGCACTATTGTACGGAGTAGGAGGAGAACTGTGCTCAGATCTGCTGTAACTACAGTCTGTACATGGTGCAGTTTGACCCCACTGACCCGTCCTCTCCAGCAGACACACACACACACACACACACACACACACACACACACACACACACACACACACACACACACACACACAGAGGATTACTGCACTGCACACACAATGCAGTGTTTACGTGACAGATTAAGAGCACCACTCTGATCTTACACAATGCTTATGCATCTCTGCCCACAGCTGTAGCTCTACATCACCACAATGCTGCGACTTTCAGGTCGCCAACTCAGCTCATTTCTACACATCGAATGAGTTCTAGTGAGCGTCTAGTGGTGCAAAGACACGGAACCCAACGTCACTGCCTATTTCACAACAAGTACACAGGAGAGTCAGAGTCTCTGACTGACACCCAGATCAAGTGAAAATAAATACCAGTGACAGAGAGACTATTACTGCAGCACAGCACTGAACCCCTGATAACAATACAACACACACCTGTAGTCTGCAGGTGTGCAGTAGTCTGCACACCTGCAGCACTCCCTCCCTCCCTGCTCTAGCACTGTCACTATCCACTTTGAACATGCAGTGGAGAAAGCGGATGTGCTAAGGCACGCTCACATGGGAGGTGATACCTGGGAGAGAGAGCACCGTTTGAATTATTAACAGCTCTATCAGATGGAGTGCGTGTGTGTGTGTACACTGATGCTGCAGGCGGTAGCAGCTCTGTGAAGCAAGCTACGGAGGACAAGCACTCGTTTGTTTCATATATGATGGTGTGTGTGTGTGTAGTGTTTGAATGCACAGTGTTCGGTCATATCCAGGACACACACACACACTCACTGAGCATCCTGCTCTCTAATGTCTCTGTGTGCAAACACATCTGGCAGTTGTCAGCCTCCTCCCAGCTGTTAGCTCCTGCACTGTCTTCTAGCTTCCTTGCAAAAGTCCCAGTTGTACATGTAATATGTGCACAAACATCTGTGCACACTGTGATAGACGTCTGTGAGTAAACGCACCGGTATCTCAGCACCTCCAAGGGACTATACGTAGGGTTATAAAACTGAAGTGAGTGGGATTATGGGATATTTCAGCAACAGCAAAATGTTATATTGCAATAATTACATACACTGTTTGCATGTGTAATAAGTGATAATGTGTGTCATGACCATATGGTGTTAGACATCAGCAGAAATCACAGATTGTGACTTGTTCTCCATCTCTCTGCATGTTTCACAGAAGAGGGGGAGATCTGATGACAGCAAATATGCGTGCAGACAAGCTTAGCTATTATTAGCCTATAACAAAGAAACTACAAATACATATCTTCAACTTGCAGGTAAAACATTCTTTGTTTTGTGCCCAAATTATCTAGGGAAATAGGAGTCATAACCAGTACAACTTGCAATGTGTTAATGATTTCTGCACATCTTCTTAAGTCTCCTCAAAATACTCTGTTCCATAAACTACAATTTAACGTTAATGTTATCCTAAACATAACGGCAATGCCATCTGTGTTGGGGAGCTCTAATAGACTAGTAGTTCATTGGAAAATGGTTTCCATGACTAGAAAGTTGGTCAACCAGGTGTTTTCCAGGTTTTCCAGGACTTGTGGGAGCCCTGACAGAGTTATGTACATTACCTGGTAGGGACAGGGGATGTGGTAATCTCTGCACTTCTCCTGGACCCAGGTGGTCTCCCAGATGGCCCGGTGGCTGTTCTCGTAAAGGTAGCAGGCTAGGACGGCCAGCAGAGGGACCAGGTAGAGCACGGAGAACACGCCGATGCGGATCATGAACTTCACCAGTTTCTCCTGGTTCTCCTTCTCCAGTGGGATCTCCATGCGGACTCGGTTCAGCGCTGCTATGCCTGCCAGCAGCAGTGCCACACCAACCTGGGAGGATGGGACAGAGGGATGGGTTCATGGTTTTCAGTGATCTTGTAAACCAGATCAGTGTTGACCGGCTGCATCTGTTAGCACTGAATGCGGGCGACTGTGGGGCGACTGTGGCTAAGTGGATTGCAGGGTCTTTCAATCCCCGGCTCCGGCTCTGCTAGTCGCATGTCGATGTGTCCTTGAGCAAGACACTTAACCCCAAAATTGCTCCCGTAGTTGTGCCTATGGTGTAGAAACGTGATAGAATCTGAATTGTAAGTCGCTTTGGATAAAAGTGTCTGCTAAATGACTGTAATGTAATGCTATGCTTTCACTTCTCAGGAATGCTTTTCATACATTACACCCTCATTATCTCTCTGCTCCCGTCAAGGTGAGGCAGCACAATTAAAACATGTTCTCTTGTTCTACTCTTCCTCACCACTACGTCCAATCCCAGCGGAGCCAGCAGGAACCAGCGCAGGGCCGTCAGGTTGTACAGCCCCACAAAGCACACCCCGCTGACGCTGTCTCCCTCGATCTTGTTCATGGCGAGCAGGGTGACGGTGAGGACGCCGGGGATGCCCCAGGCACAGGCGTGGAACAGGAGGGCCTTCTTCTCTATTGCCTCACTGCCCCACTTGGGAACAGCCGCCAGGAACCAGGTGATGGTCAGAATGACCCACCAGACACTGCCGGCCATGGTGAAGAAGTACAGCACCATGAAGAGGAGGGTGCAGGCCTGGGACAGAGAGAGAATGTACAGGTGGAGGATCAATATCAATATCTAGGCAGGAGACAAACCGAATAACATACAGTCAGGAAAATATGTATTTTGACCTTATTATGGGAGCCTTGGGTCACTGTTGAAGCCCTAAACCTCCCGGGACTTGCTGCGTTACAGGAAACTTTGTCCTCCAACAGAAACCCGAGGAAGAACACCAGGGACACCATCATGTAGCACACGGCGTAGAATATGATCGGACGCTCCGGGTAGCGGAAGCGCGACACGTCGATGAGGAAAGTCAGGAAGGTGAAGAGGGTGGCGGACAGACAGACGATGGAAACCACCCCGATGAAGTAGCGGGCGAACGTCAGCTCCTCCCGCGTGAAGTACATGTTGGAGCAGGGGGGGGAGCAGTCGCGGACCCCCATGAAGGAGTAACCGAGCTCGGGCTCGATTTTGAGTTCTCTCGGACACCAGAAGCCGTAGTCCCGCTGGACGGAGATGGGGGATTCAGTCGTATCCGAGCCGGACAGCAGGTCCACGGGACGGGGGTACGACTCGTCACAGTCTGGGAACCTGAGAGGAGATGAGACGGGATGATCTCAGGGATAGTTCACTGTTCAGATTACTGCCAACACTAAATTACTGCCAACCAGTTCAAAAGCCTTTCATAGCTTTTTAAGATTGATGAATACATCTTCTATGGCGCTCACAGAAGTGCAGGAAAAAGGAGAAGAAATTCAACTGGCAGAGCCTTGAAACTAGTCTGAGACAGATATGCCATTCTAGAGAGCGTTTACTAAGTTTCACTGTGTGTGCGTGCGTGCGTGCCAGCCAGGTGCCTAAGGGTTAACAGGAAATATAGAACTCTTGTAAAATGCTTACTTGCTCAATTCCTTCATCATATTTTTTTACGTCATCTCTTCTCATTGTGACGATGTGTGAATGCGATGTTGTATTTGGCATTGCAGTCCTGTGTTGGACCAGTCCGTGTGATGTGTTGGACCAGTCCGTGTGACGTGTTGGACCAGTCCGTGTGACGTGTTGGACCAGTCCGTGTGACGTGTTGGACCAGTCCGTGTGACGTGTTGCTACTGATGTGTGTAATTTGATGTGTGGTTGACTGAATCAATTATCTGGTTTACCCTCTGGGATTCAAACAGAGTTTGAATTAAGTCGAAGTGTTTAGCAGCCAGTTCTCAAAATCAGATCACCAGTTTCTGGAGATCATGGTATTCCTCGAAGCCTCTTCATTATTATGGTTCAGACATGTTACTTTTCACACACTCGCTGGACTCCTCACAAAGAAAATCTGCTGAGATTACTGATGCAGCCGGGCTGTTGCCGCTGAGGTTAACCCAGGGGAGAAGGATCACTGCTGTTCTACCAACCTGTTGCAGTCCATTTCCTGCGGCCAGCTGACACCAAACATGTCCATGAGTTTGTAGCAGTCGCTCTTGGCCTGCAGGCAGAGGCGGCGACAGGGCAGAGTCATCCGCCCGTACTCGGTGCACACCGGAGCGTAGAGCGCACACAGGAACATCCGGAGCTCCGGAGAGCACTGGAGGTTCACCATGGGATGGAACGGCTGCAGGTGGAGACGGAGGGGAAAGCAATGCAAGTGTAAATAAAAACAACAGCACTCAGAATAAAACTCTGTTATTTGAAACAGTTTACGAAGACACAGCCGGAGTGTGGCCCCAGCTTCACAACGAGGGCCAGAGAGAGGCACAAAGAGATCAGTGGAGCATGACTCCGATACTTTCTGGAGATGAGCCCACAAAAACAACTCTGGCCTCTTTCCTAATAATCCCCTCCACCCCATGATGTTAGCCCCCCCCTCCTCCATCCCCTCTCTCATCCTTCCCTCCAACCTTCAGACAGGAGAAGCACAACAAGCTGGGCCACCCCCACCTCTCACACACACACACACACACACACACACACACGCTGACAGGACCTTTGTGTTACAGGGAGGACCACGCTGTGGCTGACTGACACACTGCGGCAACGCGCATACACTCACACGCATAAGCCAAAGGACTGACGGAAGTATATTATTTACATGCTAAGACACCCACGTACCGTCAACATAATGGCCTCTCGCATATAAACGGAGCCAAGAGGCAGGAGTGCAGGAAGCATCTGTGGGGCAAGTTGTTAACATGCAAATGCACAGAGTGTGTCGGTGAGAGGGAAAGCATACACGAACCCACACGTCCAAGAGCGCACGGTTACATGTGTCTGTATGCATGAACACCTCGGTGCTGGTGTGTGATACAGAGAAGCCTCCAGTCAGACTAATGCTACCCGCCATCCCCCAACATTTAGAGACAGAGGGACAAGCAGGGGGAGGGGAGGCTGGGGACCGTCTGTCTCAGTGTTTGTTAGACGGGTGGATATTAACGAGGACTTGTCTCTGTGGTAGAAACACGTTCAGCCGTGAACCGTTAACGGATGTCTGTTGAAGGAAGAATGTTGGGAATACATGAAGGTACCAGTGACACTTTCACAGAGCTTTGGTCTGGTTAAGACTAACTCGGGTCCGTCAACCCTGGTGGGCACCAAACAACAAGAACAAAGACCGCCTGAAAAGGTGGGTCGGTCTGCTTCCCACCGGACTCTGGTGCGGTTCGTTTGTCCCAGGGTTTTATGAGAGCAGGTGACGTGTTTGAGCATCATTTCAAAAGCTAAACTACTAATAAATCAATCTTCTGATCGTGAAACCTGTTCAGGAATCAATCTAATAATTGATCTGTATGAGGCCACTTATATGAATCAACATGTGCTCGACTCTGTGTACTTTGTTACTTCATTAGTCTGTGAACAAGTGTGTGAAGGTGACGCCACAGTCAAAAAGCCCAGAATCATTACTGCAGAGCGTCCTCTGTACAGTCCCGTCTGTACCGGTCACTCGTTCTTCATAACATGCAGTTGATCTGCAGTCTAATTATACCGATAAAGTTTACTCCTCTTGGTTCGTTTGTAACAAGTTTGCGTGAACAGGAACTGGACCAGAACTAAAAGTAAACAATGTATTATTTTATCCCGTTTGGTCCGGAATAAATGAACCCAACTACGAGTGTGAAAGCAGCCTCAGAGATAAACTACGGAACTTGTGCCACATTTAAAAGCTGCTACACTGACGGAGTCAAAGGAGGAGCAGCACACAGTAGTGTATCCAACATATAAGGCTCAGTTCTGTTCTGACCCATCTGGGTCCTTAAGCATACAAAACACATCTCAGCCACATAGCAATAAATCCCAAAATGGGATTATTAAGCAACATAAACATGAAATGAGAATTGGAGGCTGCTGTTATACAACTGGTCATTGAGGCTGAACATGGATATTTGGAAACACAGTTCATCCCTTTAATCCATACTACACAGCACTGAGCTTTAGAAAGGTCCCGAACATTTGAGCTCAGAATGCAGAAATAAATCATTTCAGAGACTTTTGCTCTGCTCGATTGTTCGCCACCTTAACTGCATTCACATTTGAGTGGCTGTTGCAATGCGTTACCCACCATATGTCTGCCACATCAGCATGTTTGCCTGCCACCCACATGGGATGTCTTCATGTAAACAGGATTAGAATGGGTGCTAGGCTTGGACCTTAAAGCACAAAGCATTCACATCCATGCAGCTTCTGTTCATATCACTTCTCCAGCGAGACAAACACATGTTCAGTGGAGTAATCAGACTGGTTAGTCACCTCCACTGTGAGGGATCAGGGATGGATGGGTGATGACGAGGATTGGTGTTCACATAACGCGAGTCTTAACCCGGCGGAGAGTTCATGCGCACATGTCTGTCACAGCTGAGATCAATCAAGCAGTCGGTCGTGTCATTTCTGTACAAATGGAGTCATCTCGTTTCATTGAGGACCACTGCACGAGGACTCATGCTGTGAGGTATTGATAAAGCATTGACACATCCATTATGAAGGTCTATTACTACAGATGTACGCCATCAATCACACTGGACTATGTAAAGCTCTCCAAACGTGTAGGCAGCCGACACACAGAGTCTAACCTCAGAGTCAGAGTTATACTCTTGGCAGTCTGGTGATGACATCACACTAAAGTCTGTGTTGCTACGGCCGTGGTGTAGGTGTGTGTGACCAATGACAGTTGCTCAGGGGCGCATGAAGCAATACAAAGTTTGACCCAGTATGAAATAACTTGGATTAGGAAAACCAGCAAATAATCAGAAACAATAAAGCTCCTCTTTAGTACGAGCAGAGAAGCCAGACTGAGACACCTGAACACCTGATCTCAGTACTGTGGGTACAGCTGGACAGAGAAGTGGCTGCTATTGGAAAAGCATTAAAAGGGCTTCATGGGATTATTAAAAGCGACGCCATTCACAATAATATCTATAGATTATCACATTACAGCTAGAGTCAGGGTCAAACAGAGAGAGAGGATGCCCCCCCCCCCCTGTCAGTGCTGGGTGCTACTGTGCCTCCTGTGAAGTCGAGGACTCATCGGAGTCGGTTAGCCACTCAAACATGATCTGATGCAGCTAAAGTGAGCTTGCATCTTCACTCCTCCACTCCGCTTTGACTCCTGCAGGCTACCAATGTGCTCCATAGAACACAATGCACTGTACTTCACTACACTGTATTACACTGTACTGCACTGTACTACACTACACTGTAGTACACTGTACTACAAACAGAGATGCCATGGGGAACGGTTGAATAAATATATAGGCTACAGGGAGTGATGATCTGCTGGGGGGAAAACGATGTGATTCTCTTCATCGTCATCCCTCTTCCTATTCATCATGCTTCCCTTTTTTCTATTTTTATACTCCTCCAGCATCCTTCCCCTCCTCCATCTCTTCAGTATCTCTATTCGGCCATTTTATCACAGCCAACCCATCATGCGAGTCAGTGTGGGCAGGACTCACTGCTGGTGGATGGGACATATGGCTCGTGGCAGCTTTACCCAAACAGCTCCAACCACCAAGATCTGAGGCCCTGTGGACCCTCCACACTCTCCACGGGGATTTGACGTTAATGGGCACACGGGGAACAGCTGGTGAACCACTGGACCGATGAATGGCCACGGGTCTGTCATGGCGCTTTCCACCCCAGAGCCGGCCACGTAAGGAGAATCGAGCGTGTAATACACAACCCTGGTGCAGGCCTTGGGGAGGGAAGGGGGGGGGGTGCTAATGTTATTTCACCTTCAATCCCCGCGCCACAGTCATTACGTATTCATGAGAGTTTGTGAGGGGATTTTTGGATCTGTGAAAGTGTGGAATAATATGCAGCTCACACACAGTCACAGTCAGCTCGTTCACTGCTGCTGTGTTCAGTACCTGTCGATGGACATATATTTATATTGTAAAATTAAATTTGCTCAAATGAAATAGTGTGAGATACTGTCTAAAATATCTATCACAATAGATTGTCACAACAAGCAGAGAGGGAGGTTGTCCAGTGTTGCAGGAGTGAGAAGTGTTTCTTGAAAGCTCTCACACGCTAACTCTAAATGTTTGAAACACTCAACACCAAATCTCCATAAATAACAAAAAATACATAAGTAGACAACATAAAAGTCAAGAGACGAGGAAGACTAAAGTGAAGAAAAAACAACGATAACCAAAGTCAGAGCCCAGACGGGCCTGAGCAGGAGACCCTGGATGAAGACGTTCTGACCTTCTACTGGGTCTCAGGCCGCCATGACAGCCGGGACAATACCAGGACCGTCATCATTCACACCAGTGCTTTTACTGCTGGGACATTTGTCTTCTGTGAAAAAGACGTCTTGATGATCCGGAGCTAATGATGCAGTTCTGTAGTGTAGGAGGGGGGGGGGGGTGAATCGTCTCTGATTAAACGGGAAATATCAGCACTGCATCTGAAGTTAGTGTCTAGAATAAATAATGATCTTCATATCACCAGTTCACTGTGGTGAACATGCACTTGTTTACTTAATGTGACTTTGCATATTTCTGCATCGTTAGGAGAAAACCAGTCTGCCTCTGAAGAGCTGAGACAAACAGCCTTGACCTCAGTTTCCCCTCCATGAATATCTGAGATTCTCCAGCAAGTTTTAAATCAGGTAGCCGTGATATGAAATACTAATACGGCCTCGTCCAATGAAGTCATCAGAGGGTGGCTGTGTGTGTGTAGCGTGCTGATGCTAAAGTAATCTTTTAATGAAGGCTCAGAGGCTGCTGCTAAGATGCGGCGACTGATGAATTGCTGACAAAGAAGCCCACCGTGGCCAACTGGTCTGTGTGGATTTGTTCTTTTAGAAATACACCCCCCCCACACACACACCCTCCCTCCTGCATTTTCTCTCCCCCTCTATCTTCCTTTCTCCACTGCTGCCATTCCAATTCTCCAAATTTCCAAGCTCAGTGCCATGGCAACGAGTGATGCATCACCAGGGAGGAGGAGGAGGAGGAGGAGGAGGAGGAAGGAGAGCAGGGTTCGAGGAGGTCAGGGTGCGGGGCGGAGGGGACCACCTCCCGGGAGGCAAGAAAGCCTCCGCTCCCTTTGTTAACAGCACAATTGGGACTGTTCCCTGGGCAACGGGAGAGCCCTGCGCAGGGGGAGGGGGAGGAC